CCAGCAGTAACACTACATGGCTCCACGCTCTATCAGCTGAAGGAGCTGCTGTGGTTTTGGAGGGCAAGGAGATGGCTCCTGTTGTGATTTGGAGAAGTACAACTACACAAAAAGTAGTGCTGGCCCCAGAGGGAACAGGGGCAGGGAGTGGAGATGAGCTCAGAGAAAAGGTGGAACTGCAGCCTGCAGGTGGGATCCGATGGCACCTCAAACCTACAAAGAATTCGGGTGATCAGAGCCTCCTCTGCCCACCAGGGCTTTCCATTCCTTCCCTTGCCTCAGCACTAACACCCACCCACTTGTGCAGGAGCCAGCCCAGGAAGGCTGCTCGTCTGCAAGATAACCCCACCAAAGAGAAGGGGGAAAAAAAAGAACAAAGAAACAAAAAAACTTTTCAGCCAGATCTGCTCCAAGGAGCAATTCACAGAAGGATCAGACAAGAGGCAGTGCCAGCCCAGCACAGAAGGTGGAAACACAGAGCCAGAGCCAATAGAGGAGAGGACAAGGCAGCCCAAACTTAGATCAACTCCAGCTGTGATGGACCCAGAGCTGGAGCCAGCCTGACCACTTAGAAGCTTCCTAAAACCTCTGCACTTTCTCTGAAAACACTGAGATAGTACAAAGTTTAAATTACCATGATACCAAAGCAATAAAATCAGGATTCTTACTTTAACACTGAACAGGTCAAGAAGCAAGAAAAGGCCCTTGTGGTCTTAAAGATATCTAGCAGAGTTTCCATAGGGTGTAACAGGCCAGGAAAAATCCTTCATGAGCTACACAGATCACACTTGTGAGTAAATTTCTCCTTTCTAAGACTTCATTGTGTAGATGAGAAGATAAAGTAGAGACTTTGAGAAGGATTGAAAAAGACTGAAACCAACAAGAGTAGGAGCTGGCATTTGGAAAATTAATAGTGTGGAAGACAGCACGTTTTTTCTCTGTGCAAATATCTAAATTCCACCATCCCACACCCTTAAAACATGACTATTTTCTTACTTGAGGATATGTCAGTTTTTAGAACAAGCAGATTTATCTGGCTAACATTTGTAAGGGCAACTACATATACATGGTGAAGTGCTGGAAAACTCAATCTATAAGAAAGGAGAAAAATACTTAGGAGACAAGAAGTCCAGAACAAAAAATGTCTAATATTACACTCAGACTGTAAATAAAGCAAAAACTCTAATATATTGACTACAGTAACAGCAGCAAGAAAAAAAGTCTCTGTAAAATATCAATTTGGAAATTGCAGACAAAAGCTGCAGGGAAGCTACAAAGTATTGGTGTGTTAATTCCTCAAAGAGAATAGGCTATTAGGAAGCATATAAATAAACATATATTAATTAGTAGGTTTGGCTTTCCCATTGGAGATGGCACTAGTTGGAAGGAAAATAAAATCTGTCACTGATTTTGGGGAAAACACCTAAAAAAATTTAGGAAGGTCTACATTGACCATATACTTGCTAAAAAGGCCCAGAAGGAAGAATTCTAACAGACAACAAGGTGACACATGAACTGTTCCCAGGTATATATTGATTAGCAGGCAGGTCTTTGAATGTAACTAGGATAAATCAATTTACACATACTTTTATGCTCCCACTTCTTGTCTTCTGCTGATAATTTAGGTAATTAATATAAATTATTTGCAGACATAAAAAGAGATATCCAAAAGTAAAGTAGTGTATTCAAGGTATATTAAAGGCTAACACAAACACATTCTGGAGGACAGCAGTGGAGAGCAGTATGGAAAGAGTGTAAAGCATATTTCAAGGGGAAAATGCTGCAAATCAGAGAAATCCAAAGACGAGAAAAGCAGACAAAAGTAATACTCATGCAAGTGACACATTTTCAGATTTGGAGAATTAATGAATGAGAGATTTCTAGAAATAAAAGTTTCATGTGTGATGTCCTCTGGTCTTATGTACAGCTATTGAGGAGAAGGAAGGTAAGGAACTTGATTTCCAAGTTTTGTTTACTGGCCTGCCCTGGCTGAGATAATAAAAGCAAAGTTTGGTTAATCCAATTTGGATGTGTGTTGATTTGTTGTTGCTAGCAGCATTGCTCTGCTGTACTTTCTGTGTCCTTGAGGAAGCAGGAAGAAACCTGGGAAAGGAAGAAATGCATGGCATGGGGAAGAACAGGATGGCATCCCTGAGGCTGGGAGAATCTAACATGGGCTTTTATGATACAGCTGCAAAAACACCTGTAAATGCCATGTCTTTCTGCTCAGCTTTGTTTATACACATTTGGTAGCCGCCCTCAAAACTGAGTTTTTGTTAGTCAAGAAGATCAAGTCAGTGGAGCTCAAACTGCCTGTAGGAGCACAGCTCAAGGATTCAACCATCGTCAGTGGATGGACCTAATTAAATCCAACATCTGATTCATTAGATTCAACATATTTCTTTAGGGAATTTGTCAGAAATAAGGCATTTTTAAACTGTTATCAAAACAAAAAAACAAACCCCATAAAACCCCCAAATCAAAATATAATGAAGCAGAAGTTTCTTCTTAACAGTAGACATATGAATAAGAATTTAAGGACAACAGAATATCATTCCCATGTGCATTAGTTTAATCTAGAAACTACAACTCTTGTCTAAGCCAGTCTCCAGAGAGTGGAGTGCCCAGATTTTGACCAATATTCTCTTTAATCAGTATGTGTTAGTGTACTGCTGTGTACCTTTGGGGCAGCCCGGAACTGCTGTCGTCAGAGCAGATGATGCAGGCAGTGGTTGGCAATTATCCCATGCTGTGTGCCACAGGGCTGTTCAATCCAGCATGCTTCCTCACAGCCCTGCCATCACAACAAGTTATGATAGAAACAGGGAACTTTACATTAATACAATTATGAACCACCTTAATTTACTAGAGCACATAGAGTATTCCAAAGCAGTAACTCATTTCTTACCTTAAAAGGTTATTACAAGTGGACAGGTATCACTGGTCTCCTTTTGTAATGAGTTCATGATATCAAACATCCTCTTTATTAAATGTTGATCACTGGGAAAATTCATGGGTGATCAGTGATTGATCTTTTAAAATCTGCTAGATTGTCACTAATCTCCCATAATACCTTAAGAAATATGTCCTTGCCTGATTAGACGTTTTGGTATCATAAAAAGGAAATAATAAAACCACTCCAAAACACTGAATTTTAGATCTGCAAATGCATATCAGTACAGCAAATATAAATTGCCCTATTTTTTTAATTGCCTTATTTTGGTATTATAAAAGCTTTAAAGTAGTTAACCAACCTGCCAGGACCCTAGAAACTAAGGCTGTCTTAGCTCTCCTGTGGGAAGACAGATAAAAGGTTAAATCCTTAGAGAACAAAGAGAAATCCAAAGAGATTCCTCCATCCTAAATTATCACCAGGATTACAAATCAACTAATTACAATGCAAGTATATGAACTGGGCTGCTTATAGGACAGTGTGCAAATTAAAATCTGATCTGCACTGAAGGGTTTTTTTGATCCACAGTGTCTGGACTAGAACCTGTTTTCTTGCACAATTATTAAAAGTACCTGCAAGTGTACGTACACTCTGCATGTTTCTCAGGAATTAGATATGAACATTTGAAATTAGGGATTCTTAATTAAATTATGAATAGTTACATACTGTATTTTGGTGTCTTTCTTACAATTTTAAATATACAGTACTTATTTACACCTTGAAAAGTTGTACTTTAAAATGGAAACAGTTATGGTTCCAATCTGCTACTCATAACATAGAGGTATACACAACTCCAGTAGGCACTGTAATTTATTATTTTAGCCTTTACCAAGAAAAACATTTTCAAGCAATTTTTTTTGACCAGAAGTTTATGAACTAAAGTTGGAAAGGTGGCTCTATAGGCCAAGTAAACAATTTCACTATCAATGACTTTCTCCCTTGCTTCCAAGTCTCTGTTGCACACAGAGACTTCATTACAGCAGATTGCAAAAAAAAAAAAAAAATTGTGCAACAATATTTGCCTTTCGTGTTGCAGTTTTAATTTACTTCAGTATGTTATCATGCACTTCCAAATAAGTAACCTTAAATTTAGAATCCCTTATTTTTTTTTCACTACCGCCACCACGACGACTTTAAAAATAATTGTTATTTTAATATGATAAATACTAATTAATTGATAAAAAATAAATATATTGTTATCCAAAAACAACAAAGCCTCGATCAAACATTAAAATAGCTGTTGTCTGCATTTTAATTTCATTACATATGTAAAAGATTGTTATCTCTCTTCAATTGCTCAACTGCTCAACAGTCAGAATTCATTTTTATCAGCCCAACAAAAATGAATTCTGACACTTTTAGCTGGGATACAAAATGACCAGAGAATAGAAAACCCAACTCACAACTGCATTCCATTCTACCAGGCACTACTCATAGACAGAAGGTACACAGTAAAAGGCAGATTCTGTCCTGGAAAATCCAAAGTTTAACAGGCAAGAAAAACCAAAGGTGTGAGGAAAGAATGTAATGCCTAAATAAAGGTGTGGAATGTGGGGAAAAGAAAAGGTAAGAAAATGGTTATAAGGTCACAGCCATTACATTGCACACACACACATTTGCATTCCTACAGATATATATATTTATAGATATTGATAGTGATATAAATGTATATTTATATGCATGAAGACATGGGAAGACAAATACATACACAGAAGATACACATTGATGATTTTATTTCCCAAAAAAATCCAAACATTTTGAAAAACTTAAAAACACTTGCTTGTCCACACTCTTTACCTGTTTAATGAGCTGCTAATTAAGAATCAGCAAAATGCATGGTCATAAATTTTACTGTAGACTTTTTTCCCCAAGGAAAACCTTTGTCCAGCAGATTTGCAATCATACAAACTAAGTATCTTTGTTCTATCTGAATAATAGATATATCTTTTTTTACAAGTGTCTTAATTTATAATTTATAAATTTATAATTTATAAATTATAAATTTATAATCAGATTTATAATCAGATAGCAAAATCATTTATAATCAGATAGCAAAAACAATTTTCAGGTTTCTAACAGAAGTGAAAATAGTTCCTTTTATAAGAAAAGCTAATAGGAGTCAGCACAATAACAAAAAAATTTGGTTTCTTCATGGTCTTTCTGACTCATCTCTTCCTACACCAGATTGTGCAGTGCTCTCTTTCACTGACTGTTTCTCTAATCCTAATCCTTGCATCCATGACAGAAGACGTGAGTTTTGTGGCAGTCAAAGCAAAACTGCTCAGCAGTGCAAGATGTATGCTCAGACAAGGTCAAAACACTCATGGAAACAGGGAAATCAAAGCCCACTCCAAGCTCCAGCACCACCCTTCAACGTGACTTCAAAGCCCCCTGCTTGCCTTGGTGTTGCAATCTTTGAGCAACATTTCTGTCCCACTTCAAACACACACAGGTTTCACCATCACAGCCACCAAGCTGCTGCTGAGGCCACAAAGTGATAGTTTGGAATAAAGGTGACACTCTTTAGCAGAGATGCCAAACAAGATAAATGATGCATTCTGCTGAGCTCCACAGAGATGTGCTAGTGCCATGAAAACCCTGAAAGAATCCTGCACCTGCTTAAATTCAGAACAATCTTCCAACAAAAGGTAAGATTTTATTTCAGGTGTAACCTTTCCTTTCTTTTTCCTGCTGTATTTCTGCAACCACTCTTGCCTACCATTTTACTTTAACTATCATCTAATTATATCTTTTGTTTTGTCCAGCAGAGATTTTGTCATTTCTATTGTTGCCCAAGGACACCAGTCAGAATAATAAACATATCCAAATAAATTCCATTTACACAGCCTTGGATGTGCTAAAAACTTACCTGTTAAAGTCTGATCACACATGTATTGTGTTCAAATTTTGTCAGTCCTTATAACAGACAGTTTTCATTTATCCTGGCAGAAATACAAATTTAAAACTTTATTAAAAAAACCCAAACAAACTAAAAGACACATCACTTAAACACAGAACTAAATGTTGTATTTCACAGCAGCAGTCAAGGAAAACACTCTGAATGCTCATTTAAGACAGAAAGTATATATGAAATATATACTTGAAATATAATGCACAGACTTGACAAACAGAAGGAATATTATAACAGCAGATTATAAAAAAGGCTGCTACTTTTTTACTTTCAGTAGTCCACAATTCTCCTGATTTGCTTTAACAAGACTGCTGCCCCTGGTCTCTTTGCATTTGACATGAAAATTAACAGAAGACTAATTTTAAAAATATTATAAACATCCTTCTAGAAGTATAACATGGGTTTTTATTCAATATGCAAAACGTTTTTCTCCTGAATACCAAGGAGAAAACAGACATTCATTATCTAAGTTCCTCTTTAAGTATAGCTCCCCTACATTTCTGTTTTAGGACAGCTGGCCATCAATAGGGAACAAAGAGCTGAAATTCTTAAAATAATTGACAAGACACTGTGCAGACTCCCAAAGGCTTTCTGGAATGGGTGTCTCCTAAATCAAATATTACAGCATTTCTCTGAGTTTATAATATGTATTATATAGACCAATGATTTGCTCATTACAGTATTTTCCCTTCTCTTCTGTTTTCAAGTTCCTCTTTCCTTTTTGGTATATATTTGTGTCTATTATGTTTCTTTTAACAGAGAATATATGTTAAGAGCTGTCCAAGAAACACTTTATAGTAAGAGATTATTCAATTAACACTGTTTTAAATGTCCCAGAATAAGTTATACAGCTCACAAAGCACACAAATAAATGGGTATTGCATTGACACATTCAGCACCTTTAACACTCTCCACAGCAAACCAAAGTTGTTTGAAGAGTTGAAAATGCAGAGAGCAGCCTGTATTGGTCCATTTCAAACACAACTGCTTAAGCACCATGTCTTCAGTGTGGTTCCCAGACTCACTAAGCAGAGATTCCTGGAAGACAGCACTTTTTTGGAAGAGCAGCATTGCCCATTATGAAAGGTTTTTCAAATCCCAACACTTAGTGGAGCCATATTGCACCTTTGAAGCTAACTACATGCACCTTTCAAAAATACTAAAACACATGTTGTAAGAGCCCACTGAGTTCTGCTAATAAACCATTGCTGTGTCTACACGTGCTGTACCTACAGAGAAACACAGATACAAAACAAGGACTTGATTTACCCCACACACAAAAGCTGTCTCATAACTGCAAGGAAAACTCTGACCTCTCAACTCCCTATGCTTTAACCACTTGACCAACACAGAAAACCCCACACACTCTTTACTAATTATTTCCTGAGAAATAAATGTTGCATAGCTGCAAAACTACAGCATAGATAGACTGAAATAATTCTTCAGCTGCTTGCTTGTACTTGCAGATATAAACAGTACACAGCTCATAATCCACCTGCAGTTTTCAGAAGGTTTTGATGTCAATGCTGTTCAAACACATCCTCCAAAATGTTGAGTCTATAATCCCTCAATATGTGTCAGATAAAGGATTTCTTATTGATTTGAGGTCAGGATTTCAGCATAATGAAACTCATGCAAACTTAAGGCTTTTTATGTTGTTTCTTTTCCTTTGTCTGGCTACTCCCTTTCCACTTTTAAACATGCAATCTGTGATCCACGAGACTTAGGAAAAAATCCAAAACTGTTTTACTTGTAATTCAGTACATCCAGATAAAACCATGCTAGAAGGTTATTATTGATGCCTTGTTTGCTCACGCTATACTCACAATCTATTATATGTAATCCCTGGATATTCTGAAGAATCATTGCTAGAATTAAAGAACCTTTGTTTGGACTTAAAATTTTGGTGAGTGAAAGGCATCTGCTAATAGAAGACAAGCTTGGAAAAAAACCTCAGAAAACTGTATTTCCTTCCTGATACTAGTTCTGCAAACTAGCCACAAAAACAGCATCCAGCCTGAACAAATTGGTTCAGGTGCCTGAGGTTAACATTCACAGTGTTTTCCTGGGACATATCTTGCCCTCCTTAACACATCCAGTGTTGCACCATTAACTCATTAAGTTTATTTAAAACCCATCTCCCTATTTGCGTGATAGGCTGCAGCTAACAGTCTGTTTTGTAAACTGAGCAAGTTTATTCTTGGTCTGTGTTCATGCAATGCTGAAGATTTGTCTACATACAAAAGTTAGGCTTAATTACACTGATTTAATTTAATCAGCTCAAGCCCTGTACTGTGATGAGATCATAAGGTTGCTTTCTACATGTGAAGTTCCTCATTGGGGAAGATGGACACGACCCTTCTACACTACTAAAGTGGCATCCACGTCCTGGCTACTCCTGCATAATTACTTAAATAAAACATAATGTGCACAAAGTATTTATACTGCTCTAGAACCTGTGTTTCAAACCTGAGACACATCTGAGAGTGCATGGCCCTTAGAAATCTTGGTAAGAGATTTTACCAGGAATTACAATACTCTTTCTTTTTTTGTTGTGTATTATTTGAGTACTGATGCACAGTTTCACGTGTAATAGGCAGTTTCTGGTCTGAGTTCTGGCAGAACCAACTTCCTGAGCTTCTGTGGCGTCCCAATAGTTGAGATGATGTTGCAGTTTTCACTGTGAACAATCCCTAAGTTTAAATAGCATTCAGGATGCATTTCTATTTATTGCTTAGTAAACTGCAAAACTGAAGTTACAAAGTCACCTGAGTTGACATAACCTAGTAAATATTTGAAATTTTAAGAAGTGCTGAAAATATTTCAGAATTTTTTTCAACTTAGGATGAGATTCTTTTCAGTAGATTGCAAAATTAAATAGCTCTTTATTACATGGTAGTGCTGAACTATAAAGCAATGTGAAAAATCAATAATCTTAAATTTTATTAATGGAAGTACCTAATAAGAATCTTACTCATTGATGACATTGCTATTTTTATAATTGAGCAGGTATCTCTATTCTTAGGGCACTAGGAACAGAGGAAAAATAACATTAAAATATTACAAGGCCCTAGAATATGTAGCTTTAATAATGGAATTTCAACAGATAGGTTTTATTAAACAGATTGTTCTGTAAGCAGTGGAAATGTTCATAGTGTGGCTACCATGTGACTTGTGCTGCAAAGCAATCCTCCACTTCAATAGCATAAAAACATTATTAACTCCATGGATATGATGATAGAAACATTTTAAATGCTAGCAGACTGTAAAAGCAGTATGTCATAGCCTCTTGGATTACTGGGAACAAGGTTATGGAACACCCTATATGAGTTTTCAGTGCTCAATAAATAACATCGTTTGCATGTGGAAACTTTAGGTATAATATTCTTTCCTCACACCATTCCTGCAGATTCATAGAGACAAAAAGAGTTTTATATACATGTATGTATATATGCAAATCACAGACTGCATGAAAAAGACTATGTGCTTTTACTCATGTATTATATAAAGATGATAGATACATATTCTCTTATGAATTTAATATCTTATGAAATTCAATGTAAGATAATGAAACTACAGATGGAGTGTTTAGACTTTTCACTTAAATTACTGCTATGTAAAGCAAAAATAGTCTGAAATGGCCAAACCTGTCTACAACAGACACAGCTTTTTTAGCTGGATAGATGAAAGATACACACAGCTCAAAAACCTTCATGTTATAAATCACTCCAGAAATAATGATGGATTTATAGCTCCCTCTCAGTAGTGCAGACAAGCACTACTCTGATCCAAACCCCTGGGATCAGGCAGGTGGCCTGACACACCCTCACTCCAGACCCTTTGGATCCACCCAAGCATCAGCACTGAAAGTTATTAGCCAGGCATAAAGCATTTGGAACTGCAGCATATTTACTATTTTTCGTATCTGAAATGTTGGTTTCAATATTTGGTGACTTTCTAAAGTTTTATTGAGGAACATTTGTTGGTTATTAAATCACTCCCCAGCCAGTTGCTCTAGAGAGCAACACTGGACTCTCTTGAAGGCTTGGGTGGCCCAACAGTCTGTGGCTGCTCTCGGACTTCCCTTCCTAGATATATTTACCTTACTCCTACCATTTCATATGGAATTATTTGTTGGTTTCACTGCCATTCCTTCCTCTGAGGCTGCACTTTCATCTCACTGAATTTTTATCTTTTAGATTCATTTTGCCTCTTCAAGGGGTAAAGAAATTGAGGAAATTATTCCAAATGTAATTTCCTACACTTCCATCTCCTTGTGATTAGCAGACACATTCTGAAAAGCACAATGATGGATTCCTTTGTATCATGATTTCTCTGCAGATCTCACAAATAAGCAACAAAAAAAATCTCAGCTAATTTCAGCTTAGATTTCAGCTTAGATGGTCACAAATTAACCAGAGAAGGGTATATGTTAGTTTAAACAAATTACACACATTTTCCATTTTTGTTCTATAGCATAAGAAATTAGATAGTTAATTTTAAATGCAAAACTTTGTACAGCGTGCAAATCATGTCTGTATGTCAAACTGAAATAACAAACCTAATGAGGAATGTTAAAAAAGCAAGACCTATTAGTTTAAAGATACATGGAAGCAGCCAAAGATGACAAACATGCATAAAATTCAAAACATGATGGAAAAAGGAACAGGCACTGAACCACATAAATCAGTGTTTTGAATTCTATTTCTCTGTGGGTATAATTGTACCTTAGTTTCTTATAATGATTTATTGAGGTAAATAGTCTGTATGGTTTAACAGCTACAGCTTCAAAGTGTCAGGCACAGACTCTCCTTTATTCATGAGGCAGCTGAGTATTGGGATGTGAATCAGCTTCTGTATTCTGGGACTTGGCAAAGTTTGTTTTTAAGGTCCTTATAAAGGATTCATGTTGATGCAGCTATTCAAATGTGAAAAACACTGTGCTGTAATGGATGAAATAGAAAAGCTTTACAGTAATTCTGGAGGAAAAAAGTAAAAACACTGAAATAAACCATTCAGAATTACCTTCAGGAAAAGAAAGGAACATCCCAGAGTTAATTTTAATACATTATATCATTAGGGGGAACACAGAAAAAAGCCAATTTCTTGATGAAGCACAAAAGTGTGATGGGATTCCAGAATTTACTTCCAAGTTAAAATAAAACAAAGTACAAGAAAGAAATGGTAGAAGTTTAAGCTGTGACATTCACATTTTGGGTTGATTGCCAAACCACACGTTCTATTGCTCTCAGACCAGGATAAACCAACCATTAACTAATCAAAAGAATCATTATCCATGAAAGCTGTGATGGCATTTTAACAGTTCTTAATCTATTAATAAGAAAGAATAATTTGCAAAATAGATTCCCTCTTCTGTTTACATTCACAGGGCCATTCTTAGCAGAAATTATATGTAGGCTCCCATGGTGCAGAAACCCTGTGAAAGCCATGAAAATTCACTAAGCTTCCTTACGTCCCGTGCCAAGATATTCAGCAGGAACTTTGGTCGTTGCCAAGAAACACGTGTGCCTCAGATACAGAAGCTCTGCGTGTACCGGTATTTCAACATTCCTGGAGAGAAATGTGACCCCTTGATGCATACACTGGTTTGCTGGCATGCTCACATTCCTCCCCATCTGTCAGAGTGGCATGCTGCCTTCTCACAAGGTGGGATGCCAGTTCAGGAGCACAGGTGCCAACCAAATATAGGTTCAGACTAATACTCTGCAAAATGTGGCAAATGACATTTCACCTGCAAGAGAACCATCCTACCTGTGGCCCATGCCAAATTAGGATTGCATGCTTCATTAGCAAAGGGGGTCATCAGCTGAAAATCACAGGCAGAACCAGAAATGCTGGCTTTCTGGATAACATCTAGCTGAGGGCCTGCCCCACTGAGGTTTAATTTACAATACACCAAATTTTCCTAACATTGCAGCCATACAGCCCTTTAGAGCAAAATGCAGCAGACCATGGACAGAGATCTGTTGAATTCATCCTCCCAGACTCATTTCTGACAAATTTCAAGATTCTTAAAAAAGGAGCATGAATTAACAGTGGGGGGGAAAGCATAAATAAAGATTAGTGTTTTCTCTAAGAGGGTTTCTAGCACCACAAAGAAAACCATCTTCATTATGATGGTCCAAAAAAACCCAAACTAAAACTATTTTTAACCAAATTGCTCCTATAATTCTAAAATTCTTAACATCTATAAAATATTTTTATAAAGACTGACATACAATATAAAAAAGTCATTCGTTTCTAGTTTGAGAATTTATGTGCACGAGAAAGTCATGAACAGCCATTACACAAAAATCATTCAACATGCAATGACAACACTGGATAACATTAAATAGTATTTCAATATCCTTAGAATGAAGTACAGTTTGAACCCTTTCATTAATAAGACTATTCCCCACTATATTAGTCTAACAAGAAAAATTATATATTCTGTTGATCAATAAACAGAATAGCCACAAAGTAGTGTTGGTTTTGCCTCCAAATTAGCACAGCCTACTTCATTTATAAATGTACAAAAGAAAAATGAAGCATTGCTAGTCTGAAAAAATTAACAGCTTTCAGGAAACAATTTGCTATCCTTTATTTGGTAATTTATTATGATTTCTGTAATTTATTTATTCCAGGATGTACCTGATATATCATCAGCTTTAGGGGGTTTTGTTAAACTGGCTATCCAAAAATGAGTCATTTTATGCATAATTCTGCATTATTTAGGCTATTCAGAAGGCACACCACTGCTATTCCCAAAGGACAAACTCAGAGCTATTAATTCTTACAAGCACAAAAATATAACTCAATACATTGAATTCTGCAATTACAGTTCAATACACTAAGATGCAAAGTCCTGCCTCTGAGATGGAATAACCTCATGCAACAGTACAGGCTGGGGGCCAACTGGCTAGAAAGCCTATTTGCAAGGAAAAAACCTGGAGGTCCCTGTGGACAAACTGAGCATGAGCCAGCAGTGTGCCCTGGCAGCAAAGGCAGCCAACAGCATCCCAGGCTGTTTCAAGAGAAGCGCTGCCGGCAGGTTGAGGGAGCTGGTAATTTCCCTCTTCCTGGCATTTGAGAGACTGCATCAGGAGCAATGTCCAGCTCTGGTCTTCCCAGGACAAGACAGATACTGAAACAGTGAAGCAAGACAACTGGGAGGCTGCAGTGTGATATACCAGATAGACAGGAAGCTGAGAGCTTGCACAGCCTGGGGAAGAGCAGGTGAAGGTGAGAGCTGATTGCTGCCTGCAGCAGCCTAACAAGAGGGTGTAGGGAAGATGGAACAAGGCTCCTTGCAGAGGTGCACAGGGACATGACAAGAGGCAAGGGACACAAGCTGAACTATTCCAATTCAATATAAGGAAGAAAATATTACCTTGAGGGTGGTCAAACACTGGGCTAGGTTGCCAAGAAACACTGTGGCATCAGCATCCTTGGACACAATCCAGCTTGACTGGAGATGGCCCTGTGTAACCTGCTCTAATTGGACCTGCACTGAGCAAGAGGTAGGACTGGATGGCCCCCAGGTGGTGCTTTCTTATCTACATATTTCTGTGAAATATGTGCTAGCATTTTGTATGATACACATCCCAGTTTTAACAACATACAGGAACATTTCAGAGTATCACACTCCAGGCAATCACTAAGCTACTCAGGGCCAGCAGCCAGCCTTACATTTGTTTTCTTGTCTTTTCCTTCAAACAAAGTCTTCAGTCTTTTGTACTTAATTCTAGTAAATTAACAGCATTAGACATCGCATTTATACTATGCCTTCCCACTCTGGATCCCAAATGCTTTAGAAATGATGCATTACTTTACATAAAAACAGGCTTCTGTTATGCCCCCAGCAAAACAGGGAAGGTGGCATAAAGTCAGTGGAACAGCACATTTTTCTTCCTGTCACACTGTGCCTGTACGTCACTATGACTATTCTAATGTAAAGGATTTTGTCCTGCCCACAATTCCATGACAGTCTCAGGCCTGTCATAAATACCACCATATTAAGTGGACATACTCTTTCATGCCTAAGTTAATTGATTTAAAATTTATTATTTCTGATTAATAAAAATATCCTGATGCTTGAGATGCAAATTTCCATACTCAAAGTCAAAATGTACAAATTGCTACAGTATTGCACCTACAACTTACTGTCAGTTATTATTAAGAGTATGAATATCAAAATGGTAAAGTCTACTTTAGTACAGGCAGAGTGCACAGTAGTTCTTGGCAATGCTGCCATATAGTTTATAGTTTATTAATAGAGTGTAGATCTTGAAAAGATCACTACATTAATTTTAAAGGCTTGATGTAAGAAATAAGATGTTGGTATTAAACAGGTAAAAGAGAGTAATGACTTTCTCTTTTATTTTTGTGCTTCTTGTAGTCACTCAAAGCCAATAGGCTGTGACTGAAACACAATTAATAAGAGGGATAAAGCAAATATGTATTTGTATGTCCTTTGTAGAATAGAGATCTTCCAGCAGCTAAGAGGAGCAAAAATCAGCACTGACAAGGAGACACTACCTGCGTTTTAAGGAACACAAGTCACAGAACACACCCAAACTGGCTAAATAACAGGGGTAATGAGTGATACACATTTCAACCAGATACCGTCAGGACACAAATTAATAAAACTGTTTTTGCAGCAGGAAAAATCCTTCTGGTGCAGTGGTAGGGGACAGTATTGTGATATAGCTCTACCAGGGAGGTGAAGATATTGACAGGAAAAATCTTCTGCAGTCTTCAAAGGTTATTTGGACACTGGGTACATATGAAAAGTCTGTGTGCTCTACTGATGATGAAAGTTGAGGAGAAACATTTCTTTTCAGAAAGGACCCTGACTTGGGAGCTGTGCAGATACATCAGAGCTTTAGCACACCTGTTTTTTTCACACCTTTAAAATATTTCTCTAAGGATCAAGTGAAACCAGCAGGATAAAGATACCTGGTGCTATTTCTTACTCCTTTCCACTGACCATTTCCACAAATGTTACTGAAGTCCCTAGGGAGAAGAACTACTACAATCATACAGGGTTAGGAAGGAGAACAGAGTCACGGTTTTTCCATACCACTTACATTTCCTTCTAATTTCTCTTTGTTCATCCAATAAAAGATTCAAAGCTGTTAGGAACAGAAACAGTTATATGAAGAGACAAATTCTGTTTACAGACTTATTTCAGCAGACTTCAAAGACTTTGGCTTACACAGTACTGTGAGACTCAAAAAAGGACAATGTTAATTTTGTTCAACCTTTCCAGCATAGTGTTACTCACCTAGATTATGTTAAGCAGTGGTTTGTTCACACCATCTTCAAATTACTCCCAAGATAAACTCATTAAGACAAAAAGATAAAAATTTTAAGCTTCTCTTTTCCTTAAAGTATTCTGATTTACTACACACAGATGAAACAGTATACCAAAGGAAACAGAAGATGCACCCAAGGAAGGATCTACAGAGTTTCCACTCTAAACAAACACAATTCATTTTGATAATACTGAAGACTTTCTCCTCATTCAGACTCACAGTAGAATAATTGAACTTGGCAGATACTTTCTGTGACATGCCCTGTCTTTACTGGAGCTTTTATGTGCTAGCAAGCACAAAAGAAAAAGAAGGAGAGAAGTGAGATATATAAAGTTGTATCTTCATTGCAATAAAATTGATTTTTACTCAGATACAGTTTTCTAGCACTGTACCCTGTACAGAAGTAAGGGAAGAGGTCTGGACAGTTTAATACAATGTAAAATCTTAAGAAAGCAAACCACTCTATTTCCTTATTTTGGGGTAGCTGGTTCATATCAACTCCAAGTAGGAGATACATTGTTGGCCTTGCCTGGCTACACAGATATAAAAACTACCTGGGAACTGTCTGCACTAGGACTGTACCAAATCAAAGCTTCTTAACATACCTTTTATGGTGTTAAAAATGGGAATTAAAAAACAATCTTCGTGGAAGGCTAATACATGCAAGGTTACTAGAAGCCTGCACAGACCTAGGTTCAGGGACATAATCTCTCCAATCTTTATTTTCTTCCTTTGTTGAACAGGGGCAACAATGCTTTTTTCTGTGGTATTGAATAATGGCCTTTTCTGCTAGTCCAGAAATAAAAGTGAGTGAAGATAGTCCTTGTATTGATGTGCTGTCTTGTTTATGATAGAAACTACTTTGGTTTTAGATGGGAAGTGTTCTAAAAAAGCTTTTACAACAGGTTCAGAAATATAAAAGCCATTTCAGGATGAGGACCTCTCTATCCTTTATTTTGTTACTTCTTGAAAGGGCTTTTTAAATGTTAGCAGCTACGACTGCCCTCGCTCAACTGATGCTCTCTTGTCAGCAATCCTTCTGTTGACATCTCTTTGTTTGCTCCCAGCTTGTCTCTCCTCCTTCCCAACCCCTTAAAAGAAAACAAGAGGTTGGAATTGAACTTTTGGCAGGCATAGAGCCACTAAAACACATTGAATAAGTTTGCTGGGCAAGTCAGATTTCAGTAAAAGAGTTTCTTTCCTCACTTTCAGTGATATACACTTTTTTTCCTACACTTTCAGAATATTTTCCCCTCTTCCCTGTGGCATCCTCCATATATTGTAGTAAGCAAAGCTGCTCAGAAAATGGGAAGCATTTTCAGCTTAAATAGGTTGAAAGAGATGAAAAGTTAGGGTAATGTCATGTTTCTATTTGATATAAAATAAAGCTTTTTGTCTAAAAAGAATGTAATTTAAACTGTGCACTTAAAGTAGGTGTATGTGTACACATTTGGGTTTTTTCCAAGCTAAAAAAAAAAGGCATTCATTTCCTTGTTAAGCTTTCTCACAGACAGGTACTGGCAGCATTCCCTGCCTCATGGTGATAGCTACTTTGAGTATCAGAAGTTCATTAGTAACAATTAAACATTCTACAGCACTTGAGAAGAGGTTGATCCTGTTTTATAAGCCAATGTCAGTGAGCATATTATAAATTACAGTAGTCCAATTACTCTACAGCTAATATTTAGCACTTATACTTTGCTTTGAACACACACTCTGCAACTGATAATTAATTCTTAATGCTGGCATGCAGATATATTATCCTAATTTCACAGATAAATCAGAAAAGCGAGATAATTTGCCATAAGCCTCTTAGTCTTGAGTGGAGTCAGGACTAACCAGGGGAAGATTCAACCCTGTATCCATGGCTTCCAAGCCAGGGCTGACCACTATCTTGGTCACTATGTGATAGTTGTATTATTCCAGCTCAATCTCTGCATGGCAAAGACATCCTTACCACATTATACTATGAGAAATGATTTTGGCTGTCAGATCTGGGTCTACTTTAATCTACCCTACCTCTACAGAAAAAGCTAAAACCCAATTAAATAAAAAAATTGTGCAGAATGTATATCAGCATCTTCACTCGTACAACTGCTTCCACAAGACCTTGTTAGCCCTCAACTTTCCCACACCCATGCCTTTCCATGAAAGGAAATGAAATCTCATTATTTCAGTATCATTTCAGCAGGTTTCAGTTCATTTCACTGCACTTCACCTCATGCCAACTGTTTTCACTTAATTCCAGAACTTCTTTTTTTTTCCTTGACAAGGTTTTGTCTGCCTGAAAGTTTTCATAATGCAGACTGCTGAGCTTCAAAACTTGGAAGCTCCTCCTTCAAGTGATTCTTGTGGCATGTCCTGTAACAGAGCTGGTGTGTACCCACCCTGCACCCACATGGATGGTTCCCATTCACACACTGCAGCTCACCACAGCAGCAGCAGCAGCATATTGAAAAGTCCAAGGGGACAATTGTACATGACAGCAAATAATTCTGTTACCTTACTTGTCATTTCAGCTCATCTCACTCTTACCTCATTGCCTCTGTTAATGACCAACAAGAAACCTTTTTGTTCCTCCCTCTTGTTCCTCCTTCTACACAGGCAGCCATTTGCTTGAGGCTCTGTTTCTGCATCACAGCCAGTCTGTGCTTCAGGACAAAACCTTGCCCCTGTGAATTGAATGTTAACCTCAGGACAGAGTCTTCAGAGAGACTAAGGCAAAACAGTGGAAAACTCTCACAAATACTGCCCAGAATCCTTACCTATCATTTTGTTTGTATTCCAGAACAGCCCCAGAGATTGGAGAAGACATGTTTCTCCTTAGAAATTCAGTGTCCCGTCTTCTGAGAATAATGACATTTCTCTGTTGCTCAAAAGAATGCAGCAAATATAACACTGAATCCCAGCATGACAGGAATTTCAGAACTCCTTTCTTATCATTTATTAGTGTTACTGGAATTATATAAAGCTCATAAGTCACACATCCTCAGATATATCTGTAATATCTGCAGGAAGATAAGCAAAACCCTTACATAACCATTCTGCTACTAGAATCCACATGTTTTTAGCATTCAGAGGAATCCATTTTTAAGTGATCCCATAGGCAGACGGTTGCCATATAATGTTTAGGATGTCTTTGTTTGCTAAGGTACCTCTTCCCTGCAGAAACAGAGCATTTTAAACAAGGGAGCAATAACCCAAGTGAGAAAAAAAAATTGGAAAAGCCTCTCACTAAAATATCAATACCATAATCATTACTTAAAATATAAACAAAAAACAAAATTAACAAACCATTGGTCAGACATATAAACATTAGTTTGTTTCAGTTGTCCCAAAAAAGACTTGAACTTAACAATAAGTCACAACTAAGACACAGTTATAATAGCTGATTTGAGCAGTCTTATTTTTTACACCTTTTTTCCCAAGGACAAACTTTCTCTGTTTGTCTCACAAGGGAAATATATTTGAAGTTAAAATTTAACCCTTGTTTTTTATTGAGATACAGAACTTTAAGCAAAATAGTAAAGAAGCACTAATAAAAACTAAACTTAAAAAATTAGAAAACTACAGTTTCACTGGTATTAGATTACCACAATTCTTATTAAGTTAAACAGACTAAAAAGACTGGTAGATACTACTAAAAATGGAGTCTTTAATTTACAAAGTAATATAATTTTCAGGGGGCTTTTGTAATTTTACTCCTCTTGTTAGAAACAATTTTTAAATGCTAAAGTTCAAATTAATCCATTACTACACTCTCTATAGTCTGTACATTTAAATACATGAAATGAGGTTAAAGATGCGAATATATGATTCTCTCAGGTTAATTCTTGTTTCTGCTCATTTATCATTGTTAAACAAGAACATAAACAAGAACCACAGAAGCTGTAGAAAGCAAATATAACAACCATGCCATTCTGATTGGTTTTGCACACTGAAGCAAAGCAGTAACACAAACATGAAATAAACCATCAATGTCCCAGCACTATTCCATATAAACAGCCGTTGAAAATAATTATATTGTACATATCATATCATATTTCATACTATATATCATAATCATAGTTTGGGTTGGAATGGATCTAATCTACTCAAAAGGACATCTAATCAAGACACGCACATTAGCTCATTGTAAAAAAAAAAAAAAAAATTAAAAATTGCACTGGCTTGTTTTAAATGTTTCCAGAGACGGAGATTCCCTAGCCTCAGTGTAAGGAAATTTCTGCTCATGTTGAAGGGGAACTTTTGTTTATGGCCATTGCTCCTCGTTCTGCACCACCGTGAAGAGTCTGGCATCCCCTTCTCGGCACCCGCTTTGAGATGTGATAGATATGGGGACAGTGCCTAATTTGTGTTCGGCACACGTGTGGGGGTGACGAACAGCAGAGGCGGCAAACCGCCACAGGCCCTGAGGGGATCATGGCAACACCGGGAGCTGCGCACACAGCGCTCCACGGGGGCACACGAGCAGGGACCGGCGGGCACTGAAGCGAGCCGTGCAGCGCGCAGGGTCCCCACTCTCCGCCATGCCCGCTCCCGAGCGCCGACAGAAGCAGGAAGCGCCGGGAAGTGCCGGCACCCGTCTCCCGGCAGCGCCGGCGCCCGCCCCGAGGCGGGGCCCGGCCCGGCCGTCACGGCCGCGGAGGCCTCTGGGACACGTAGTCCGCGCCCGCCCGCTCCGCGCCGCCGCCCGCCCGCCCGGAACTACCGGTCCCGGCGCGCCCCGCGCCCGCCCCCGCTGGAGCGACTCCGGCAGGAAGGCGGCAGCGCGGCCCGGTCAGGCAGCCCGACCATGAGCTCCGCCAGGGAGTCCCAGAGCCACCACGGCCTCAAGCGAGCGGCCTCCCCCGATGTAACCGGGCGCGGGGCGGCGGCGCGGCGGGAGGGGGTTGGCGGCGCGGGGGGCGGCGGCAGGGCCGCGGCTCGGCGGCGGAGCCCCCAGCGGGACGCGGGCAGGCCGCGGCGGCCCGGGCGTGCTGCGGCGGGGCGGAGGGGCCGCTCGGGGCGGGCGGGCGCAGTGAGCGTGTGCTCCCGCAGGGCTCCAGCAGCTGGGAGGCGGCGGACCTGGGCAACGAGGAGCGGAAGCAGAAGTTCCTGCGGCTGATGGGCGCCGCGAAGGTGAGGCCGCCGCGCCGCCCATCGCCCCCACGGGGGCGGGCACGGGGACCGGGCCTCTGTGGGGCGATCTGAGCAAGGCGACAACAACCCCGAGCTGCCGAGGTTTGGGGTCTCCTCTAGGAGGATTTGGGTTTCACCGCTGTTGTATCAGCAGCCGTGTTACACAAAACCGCGCTCGGAAGTTGTCGAGTCCTGCGCCGCAGCTTCATCCTCCCCCCCCGCGCCTTAAATGCTTTCAGACAGGCTCGTGAAATTACTTGGTGACGCTTCCGAGAGACAGGCCTTGTTACAAATTAACAAACTTACCTGCCAGGTCTGTAAATTTCTCTGTCCCTGGAAAAACTTTTGAAAGAGTGGTAGTTTAAAGACTAAACCACTAAAGTAGTAAAGCTAGGGAATGTTTTTAGAGAGAAGATACACTAAAACTAAATTTCTGTTACGCTTGCTGCTAAAAATCCTGCAAAACTGGTTAAATGCAATAATGATTTTTTCATGTATAAAATGGTGGTTTAGTATTGCACTTTTACCTACTTTCAGAAAAACCCATTTTTACCTGTAGTAGGCTTATTTTGCTTGAACACAGTAATTTTGTAAGCTAAAATAGCTAACTGTGTTAAAGAGGTGAAAGTCAGGGCTTTGTAGTGGATGGGGATACAGTGCTCCATTAAAGCATCCCACTACCACTAATCTGAATGTCTGCTTGGGTACTCAATGCTGCTTGCTGTGTAATGGCAGTTCCTGCCTACTGGGACACATTTGCTAATGAGCAACTACTGAGCCAATAAATTAATCATCACTGTGAAGGGCTTACCTGACACTGTGACCAGTCTGAAAGTGGGATCATCGTAAGATGCACGGCCTGAACTGTTGCAGAGTGTCAGAGAAAGGGTAAATGATCAGAACCTGAATACACATCTGTCTAGCGTCATGTAGTATAATTTTTGTATCAGTGGCAAGAAACAGGGTGAAATAGAACCATCTCTGGGGTCTGGGAAGAGCAAAGAGTGTGTAGTTGCTGGGGTTTCTTTTTCAGGAAATTCAGCAAAAGAAAGATGAAACAAGCTTACCTAGAGGCAGCAGCTCTTAGCTAGGAAAGCTTCCAGTCCTGCAGTTGGGTGGCAGGGTTTGACATTCAAGATGTCCAGGATGTTGGCAGAGCTGTCAGTGCACCCTAAAGCTCCAAAACAAACTGCCTTTTCTTTTAGAAAGAACATACTGGCCGCCTTGTTATCGGAGACCACAGATCAACCTCTCACTTCAGGACAGGTCAGTTTATCCAACAGCTGATACAAAGTTGGAAATCTAACCCTCATTTAGGAACATTCCAGTGCTCTAAGCTTGGTAGATATGGCAGGGAAGGATTTCAGGATTCGTAGCTGCAGCTGCAGATGGGTCAGGCTGTGGAGTTGTAGAAGTTCCTTTTTTCTGTCAGATTACTGACAAAAGGTTTCTGTGACTGCACTCACTTGCCTTTTAAAGTCCAGCGTGTGCCAGGAGATCCAAACTATGTACACAGTAAAGAACAGGGGTTGATTTGTCCCTGACCTGGTTACCTATTGAATAGAAAGATCTCTGCCCTAAAGCAATGAGGGAAAAGCTGTAAAGCAAAGACGTAAAAGCTGCAAGGTCATCTGCAAGATCAAGGCAATCAGCAATAATTGGATGTCTTGTAGGACCATGGTAACTCCTTATCATGCTTTCTTGGGAAGTCAAGGTTCATGGCACCAAGCTGGGTTGGACTGCACTGCCTGAGAGAAGCCTTGACAAAGCCTTGTGGAATAGCAGCTGTCAGCACTCCAGAAAACTTTCCCTCATATTCCAGAAAACTTTCCCTGATGCCTTCCACTGATCATTTTTCATGTGATGAAAAATTATTTATGGGCCAAAATAAGCCTGAGGGTTGGTTCCAGGTGCTGCTGCTCTTAGCTTACAGAGACTGAGAATCATTCCTTCATACCTGAATTTCTAGAAAGGAAGTGATGCTTCTCCTTGAAGTCATACAGAATCAGTACTCATTTCTTAATAGCAAGAAGTTAAAATGACAGGGGGTTTAACACTTCTTTGTCTAACATACAGTTCTTGTCCTTTTACAATAACATACAGCTCTAATTTCCAAATCAGGAAGTGTGGATTTGCAATGGAACCTTTCGGCTTCACAGAAATACAAATTAAAAGCTAGTGTTGTAGGGGAGGATTAGAGATTCTTACCTTCTCCAAGTACATAGGATCCTTAACTATTTTAGACCACTTACTCAAGTAAATAAAGGGGTTATAGAAGTAGCTCATGAAAATTAAGTTTTTCTCCTAATTGCTAAGGATGGAAAAATACAGAGCTGTAGTAACTCCTCCTTGTAATTTGGGATGCATGAAACAGTTTCAGATACATAAACAAGAGTGGTGCTATTGTCCCAAGGCATGATGCTATATCTGAGAGATGACTTCATCACAGTAATCCTGTGTTATGTAGTGAAGGTCACAAAGTTTCTCCTTGCTGGGGCATGTTGCGGTATTGGCTGGAAGCACAGAGAACTCACACTGATTACATTTACCTTGTTCTGTGGAACATAACACTGCATAGTGCAACTGTGGAATGCATCAGGTGTCAGGAACTTCCCAGCCCTCTTTGTGTCCAAGCCATCCTGCTTGCACCCTTGCTTGCTTTAAAGTCTGATGGTTTGTATGCAGGAATACTGCACCCTAGTTTAGAATGGTTGCATTTAAACTTCTTGCCTTTGAAAATGTGACTTCCTGTAATTTGGTGTCTCTGTTAATTTGAATAACCATAACCAAAGTACCCTGGACAATGCAGGGGAAGAAGACAAGAAGATGAACGAGGAGTTGGAGTCTCAGTACCAGCAGAGCATGGACAGCACCATGTCGGGGCGGAACCGGCGCCACTGCGGGCTGGGCTTCAGCGAGGTACTCAGTTCATTGCCAGGGATTTGCCTTTCACTTCACTGACACAAGGAGGTTCTGGGTTTAAAAATCCATGCAGACTTCCATGGTTTGGGTTAAAGGACGAACTCACTGTAGCCACTTGGCTGCTGTTTGTGTACACTGTGATGGTCATTTAGTTGCTCATAAATGAGAGATGCTTCTCATTGTTTCTCGTTGTTCTTAGAAGTGAAGACCTCTGCTCCAGAGCAGTCTGATTAGGGCACAGAGTGACAGTTTTAATATATTAAATCAAGGTGTTGCTGAGGAATATATAAGCAGCCAGGATAACCATCTGCATGGTTGTTAGCAGTATCATTGGATTATTTCAGCATTCCTCATGCTGCAGTTTGCTAAGTGTCCTTTCAGAGATCAGTCACAAATGTGAATTCTGGATGGCCTAGCCCTTAGTTCCATTGTGTCACTCTGTGACAAATATTCCAGTGTCAATACTAGAATTACTGAACTGATGTGATCTGCAACTTCAGACTCACTGAATGGTGTCTTTAGGATTTCTGCTGTAACTAAATAAACCAGTGGCTGATGAATTCATGTCACAGCTGGTATGATTAACCACTTCAGGGAGCTGCTTTCTGTCTAATAGTTTGTGTCTTATGGGCCTCTGTTTAGCAACATGACCCATTTCAGTACCAAAATGAAAGAAGCCATTAAGTGAAACAATCTCACTGGGAAATTTTAAAGGCTGCAGTGGAGTTGCCAGGAAATAATATTTTATCTCTCTCATAATCTGAATTTACAGTTTCAGGAAGATGAACAAGAAGAGGAGGCAGCTGGACACTCCTCTGATGAGAGTTCAGATGATTCTGAAAGTGGCTCTGATTCAGAGCAAGAGGAGTCTGCAGAGGAGCTACAAGCTACTGAAAAACATGAGGAAGCCGAGGTTCCAGAAAACAAAAAAGAATCAAAAAGCAACTATAAAATGATGTTTGTGAAAGCCAGTGGTTCATAACTGCAGATGTAACAGCTTTGTATTTAAAGTACAGTAAGCCTTATTGTTACAGTGCAAAGTGGAGGACTGCTACAGCACAGATCTTTGTATTTTGATTTTAAAAAGACCCTGTTAGATGACAAAAAGTAGTATTTG